TTTGTCAGAGGTGACACATTTATCCCACGTTGTGATATGCCCATCAGCCGAAATCTCTTGGCGTGGATTGTGAACTGGGGGTAATAGGTCATCCGGTACTGTAGGACCGAATCAACGAGCCACATCTTACTGATGTCTAACATCGCGCGGTAAATGTTAGCGCATGATGATAACAGCTTACCAATAATTAGATCGAGCAACCACAAGGACGAAGTCGAAACTTCGTTACTTAGTAGCCCCGAGGAAGACTAACTTACGGTACTGCAGTAGCATTCAAAAGTACTCTCATTCTGACTCAAAGCAGAGCAAGAAGACGGAGCGGAATGACGGCAAACTTGAAAATACCAACGTACATAAGTATGAAAAGGTTCATTTATAGGTTCCTGTAAGACCACACCAGTGTGTGTGCAAGTTTTGTGTTAAAAAGTACACAGACATTTGGAAAATGCATATCGCAGAGAGGCAGGGACGAGAAAATAAGGGGCCCACAAAAAAGGAAAAAAACAAAATCATGTTTAAATAGGCTTTTGAGCATTCAGAGGAGGAAGAAAGCGCTTTCGGAGAATATCAATGAAGTCAACCAGGTTCACTACTACCTATAACGACAGGTAAGGTGCGGCTGATTGGAATATCCGAAGCACTGTCGGTGGGAGGAGGAGGCAATTCGCAGCCTACTGTTTGGGGAAAATTCATGCCCGTAGAGGGGCTATCGGGGAAGAGTGGGAGAGGAGACAGACAGCCGGCGACTGTACTTTCTCTGACAAGTTCCGCAAAGATGGAAATCAAATTCTCCAGACCAAAGAGATAACCCTCCTCGTGATTTCCCGGTTTCCAGGCTCCACGGTGATCTACCTCAACACCAGAGGGGAGCGCAGATGTCTTGCCAAAGTCAATCATCCAGACGTTGGCCATGCCTGTTTGATCATGAACGAAGAGGAGTGACGTCCCGATCATCTGCAAAAACAGAAAATAAGGTTTGTCAGGAATTGCAGTGGCAAACATGAAAATACTGAGCACAGGGTTAAAGGATTTGCCGAATAGGATACAGAAAATATTTATGCAATGAAGCTGGTACAAGCAGGAAGGGATATAGAACGCGGTTTCACCTGCAGATGCAAGTACATTGGGCAAATGCAAAGGTCATTGGCAGACAGGTCAGTTGAACATTTGACTAAATGTCTTTTAAAACGGCAAAACATCCCTAGCTCTTCCATTGCAAAACATCTCTTTGATAGCGGTTCCCCTGTTGACTTCAAAACAATACTGACTCGGGCAAGAACAAGCTATGCCTTGCGCTTCTTGGAAGCAGCTTACATGCCCACCCAAACAGATGGATCACGTGCACAACTTCAGATGGCTCTGGGAAAGCCGAAGACTTAAATTTTTTACCTCACTCTTGTGCATTAACATGTTCTATTTTTATTTCCTATATTGCGATTTTAAATTAAAATGTTCATCGATTATTCTCTGTGAGGTGAGAAATGGCCTTGCTGCTATGTATTGATTGTCTGTGCGAATTCAGCCTGCTCTGTGTTTCTTAATAATTATCAATGCTATTCGGCGAAAAGTTGGTAAGACGTCCCAAAAGTTATTGATACCAATAAAGTCTGATGTCGGCGCCTGTTTTGAAATTTTTGCTTTCAATTAGTTCTTAGCATTCTTTAACGTATCTGATTATAATCTATAGAAGAATCGATAATGCAAACAGGAGTAATGCAATTCTTTTAAAAAAAACCTCTTGCTCTGCAAGATCGAGAAATCGTCTTAATTGATAAAACGACAACTAAAAATGCTGGGCTTCATCTTTAAATGACAGTTTTTGGTTACAGTTAAGAAATAAATAATACTGGTTTCCAACATGAAAACTAGCGCGGTTTTGAGTCTCAAGAGTTGCGAAAACCCGGAGTTGGATATGGGTGACTGATGACGGCTAATAAGCCACTCTAATCTCCCTTCTCTTTATCAGCAATCTCACTCAGTGTAATATATGTGGTCACCAAAAAGTGAGTTATGCAAGACAGACAAAGCTGACTTAAAATCAATCACGGTTCCGGCTAATTCATTCACAGGGGCTTAGGGGGATTGGAGCTTAAAAGAAAATGATGACTCGAGTAAAGACTTCAAGAATGTCAACAGTAAACACATCGCCGTGGCGAATGAACTAACCTACGATGCGCGTATCCCTGGAGAGTGCTCTCAGGAGTTCAAATATCAGAATTCAAGCACAAGAAACACATAATTAGGAATCATGTCTGACAGAAATA